GGAAAGAGCCAGGGTCAGGAAATCATTGCCTGCCCTTCCTGACAGGCTCAGGTGACCTGTTTCTTATCATGTTAATTTTTTATCACCATTGTTTAGTTGTTCTCCAGACAGACTTTTTACCTTTATTCCCTAATTCCTGGATAGGGGCTTTTCAGGATGCTCCTTCCATCTGCTGTCCCTGCTGTGGGCAGCTCCCACAAGGGCAGCCAGGTGCTGCTCCCAGTTGTGTCCATGCTAAACACCTTGCTGAACTGGGATCTGAAAAGCTGATGTGGTCCTCTTGGCTATCAGGTAGGTCTTGCTTCTTCATGCATTTTTCAGTATAATTCCCAGTGACTTGGAAATTGGATTCCTGCAGGACTTTTGGCTGCACATCATGCAGAGTGCACACAGTCCTACAGTGCACTTTATTAACAGGTGTATTATCAATGTACCCGTGTTACAGTATCCTCTGCATTTCCTTGGGTTTCTTATTACTGTTCCTAAACTTGTTCCTCCTATTCTGCATCCCTCCTGTGGCTGTAGACCATCTTTCATTGGAAAGTTGAAATTGTTATCTGGCCAAATCTGCAGTGCTGTCCCATCAGGGGAAAAATATCTTTCCTGATCCTTGCTGTTGATCAGCTTGTGTCCTGAAGCATGATTATTGCTCACTCTTGTTATTTTTAAACCTGACTAATGCAGCTACATATGTTATTCTTCCTTATATAAACACATAATCCTTTTTTAATCTTGCTGAAAAAAATTTGTCTGTATGATATCTTGTGGTGGTGAATTGGATGGGCTCATTTATAGATAGCATTAGGAAGAGTCTCCTGACAATCAGTGAAACGTGCTGCCTCTCATGTTAAATTGCCCTTTGGTTTTCTTATGTAACAGGGTGCATGAGGAGCTTAGGTAATTTCCATTCTATTTGTTTTATACATCTATAATCCCGTCTTGCCTTTGTTCCTAAAATAAATAGTTGGTCTTTAAAATATATCATTTGTAAATCCCCCTCTTGCCTGCCTTTAATCAGTTTATACTTCTGGAGTTCTGTTTTGTTCTAGCTTTCTTGCTGAGATGAGAAAATCAGAAGAGTGATGCATTAGTGTGAAAGCTACGGCAGATTTACATAACACCACTCTGCTTTTATTGGGCTTTATCCTCTGTTTGGACATTCAAACATGCTTTTTGTTGTTTTGTGCCTGTGCACAAACCTCCTCTTCAGTGCCAGGTTTTTTGATGAGTAGATGGTGGAACGTGGCTGTGGTAGGTCCCTGTCTTGTTCTGTACCTCACCTCCAAAGTGTACCTAGGGTTGTTTTCTCTGCTTTTCTACTGTGTAAGTGGTTCAGAGTCTTTTCAAAGGGAGTCACTGCTAATACTTTAATGCTGAGTGTTACTGGGCTCATAAGCAAACTTCACCTCCTTGCTAGTTAAATTGTCCTTCTGCTGTTCTTCTGCAAGGAATAGCAAACTTCAGCACTTTGCTGCTCATTCCTGGAATATCCTTCCAGTTTGATCTTTCCATTTTACCACCTGGCCATCTTCCCCTGCTTCTTTGCCTCCCATAGCTTTACAGCATTACTGGCACAGAACAGTGTTTTCACTTGGCTATGACACTATTTTTTCCTTGATAGCTGCTAGTGAACAGCTTAAGGAATGAAATGCTTCATGTCCTCACCAGGCACGTTAGTGGGGAGGCAGTTCTGCTGTCATCCACAGTCACTTGAGGGTTGTCTTTGTACCCATCCAGCCCTTCCCCTCAGAGCAGATGAGTCTCATGGCTCTGTAAATGAAGTTACCCACCTGGTGTTATTAATAATGCATTGGTGCTCCTCATCAAGAATTACAGATGTTCAAGAAGCATTGCAAGGCTCAGATGCAGTGTGTTTGTCCCCAGAAGGAACTAATGTAGGAAACAGCACTGGGTGTAAAATTGACCTTTTTTGTTGCCCATTTTACCCTACTTTTAGTGCTTTGAAACTTCCACTGAAACCATTGCATATGACCAATATTGACTGATTTGTGTTATGGTTTTACACAGTTTCATTTGTTCATGGCTGAATTCACCCTTCCCTTTCAAAACAGCCAGGACAATCATTATTTATTATGCATGGGCTGCTCTCCCTGGAGTGGAGAATCATCATGTCCATAGGGAGCAGCAGTTCAGGAGCTGAGTAGCTCATACTTGGGCTGTCTTTGAATTTGTCAGACAGTTCCTGTGCTGCCCTGCTCAGATTAAGGACAAACAGCCAGTTGGCTTCTTTGGCACAAAGTCATCTTTTCCTAAAGCCTAAACTGCCCCCAACAACCACCACCCCTGGGTTGGAAATACTTGGGGGTGAGAGTTTCTGTGCTTTCCCTGTGAGAGGAAGTTTCCAACAGCCTGCTGAATTATCCCTTCTCCTGTGGAGATTGCTTCTTGGCAGAGTGGGAGAGTCGAGTGGCTTAACTTCCAAATGAGATGAGCATAATTCTCAGTGGGACTGAATTATTTTTAGAGGTTGTTATCACTGGGTTTTCTTAGGCCAGTGTGTGGTGCTTTTGGATGAGGTGACAAACCTGCCCTGACTTATTCCTGACTCTGTGTGTGGCTGTGCACCATTGCTCTCTCCCCCTCTCTCTTTTCCATCCCTGTTCCCCTAAACCTGTGATTCTGAGAGCAACTTGCACTGAGCTCCACCTCATTAACTGTGAACCTCAAATCTGTCTCTTTTCCAATTTCATCCTAGCTAGTTTATCCTAACAGCTATTTTGAACCTTTTCTGATTAGGAACATAGTCTCATCAACTCAGGCAGTTTGGGTAATAATTTACATATTTTTGTCTGAGGGTGTTTAAACAGTAAAATTCCCACTGTTTTTAAAGAAGCTCCAGGATGATTCTGAAAGCTCAGACACTCAATTACATTTAGGTGTAAGAACCAAACAAGAGTCAGTTTTGTGTTGAAATAAGTATTTAGGAGAAATACCGGCACAATAAGAAAAGCAGTAAAGGTGTTTTTGTCTTTTTAATGGTGCAAGCTGCTTTATAAACATTGGCAGGGATTTCTTATCTATAGGAGTACAAGGAAATAAAGCTTTCAGTTAGGTGATGTTGTTGCAGATAGACATCTATTTTTCATTACTACATTTTTTTTAATATCTGCATTTGGTATTTAAAAGCATTTCCTTTGGCAAATGGAAGTCAAAAAACTCCGCTCAGTTCTGGCACAAGTGAATTTTTCATGCTGCTCCCAGGTTGTCCATCTGTAAGCACTGGCCCTGCATGAACTGCCAGCACAGAGCAAATATTGCAAATGTTTTCAACTCTTTTGAGGATGACCAATAAGCATACTCTTTGTTTGAATAAATTTTTGTCTTTAAATATGTTCTTACCTTGTTTGTTTTTTTGTTTTGTTTTATTTTTTTGTATAGTCAGCTCTGGCTAGCCTTATTCAACCCCAGATAGAATGTTTGTTTCATTGGGGTATAGATTATGTTCAATTAAACCAAGAGCATGTTCCATGTTAAAGCAGTACCAATTCAAAACTGTACATGCACACAAAAATTAATATTCACAGTCCTTCTCTGAGTGGGATTTGGAATTGTTCAATATAAATACTTCTGGATTCTGCTGCATGGGGTCAGCTTTGTCTTATTTGCCCTTAAGGGGAAAAAGCCATGTTATTTCATGTTTGCAGTTGGAGTAGGCTGAGAGCTACTGGACTGAACCAGGGTCCACCAGATCTGAGTCCCTGTGGCTGGGTGTGTTACCTTTTATGCTGAGAGGTCAGAATAGACAAAAGTGCCTTTGAAAGTGCTGTACATCCTCTACTTGAATTCCAGCAACTGCCCCAAGAGAAGCCCAGGAGCATTTATTGATTTCAGGGCTTTTTCAAAGGCACTTCAATACCAGGACCAAGAGAAGTGCAGTATCATGGGCAGAGTGTGAGCAGCACACACAGCTGAAAACACTTCTTCCCTTTGACAGCACCTTTTCCCCAGCACATTGTATACATTTGTGGGGTTTGAGTTTGTGGGTTTTGTTGTTTGGGGGAGGTTTTGTTTTTTTCTGGTTGAGATTTTTTGTTGGTTGTTTTTTTTGTATTTAGATATCAGGCCTTTTCTTTTCCACTTTATCAGGAGAATATAGCAGCTTTCACCCCTGAGGAGCCTCTGGATCAGAAACTGAACTGAAGGGCAGTCTTAAATGTAGCACTGCCTTCAGATGCAGAAAGCAGATTCCCCTTGCTTTGTTCCCTCTGTCTCCAGAGGTTTCCAGTACTTGGCTAGACCAAGTCAGAATTAGGCTGACCTAGTGTTGGCAGCACACTCCCATCGAGCAGGAGGTGATCCCAGAGGCTCCCTCCAACTAGCATGGCTTTGGGCTGTGATTGCTGGGTGAAAAATTGTAGTTTGAAGACATATTCTTTGAAGGTTTATTTTATTTTTAGATCCTAAGCAGATTTTTTTAATTGAGCTTTGCATCTTACCAATATTATAATTGATATCTGAAGCCACTGGTGTGTGAAATGCTTTGAAATTTTCTATTCTGGCTACCTAAATTATTGAAATTATGAATTATTTTAAGATTTAATGTGCTGTATCTCAATTTAAAAGGCAGACCTGGCTGCAATTGTGGGCTCAATAGAAGCTCATAATATAAGACTTCTGTACTTTTAAGCTCAACAAGAATTCAAAACATGGCATGTAGAGGGGAAGTAGGACCAAATACTGATATTAAGGATTGCTTCTTTTAAAGTCATAATTGTGGGGTTTGGGTCTCTTGTATAATAGTTGGCATCCATTGAAGTGCCCAGTAATGTGATAGTGCTAATTATTGCAATTGAGGCTCTCACCTCCTGGAACTGTCACTGCCAGTCCAGCCCTGCCTGTCTTCCAGCTCAGAGCAATCCCAGTCCAGCCCGTCCTGTGACTGGCATCAGACCTCTGTGTTGGGACTCTGTAACAGTGCCTTGAGTGATTCATCACTGGCATCAGTTCCCCTGCTTCACTTCTGCACCTTCTCATTTCAGGGCTTCTTCAGTAAGCGCCTGAAAGGATCCATCAAGAGGACAAAGAGTCAATCCAAACTGGACAGGAATATAAGCTTCCGACTGCCCTCTCCCAACAGTTCTGAGGACAGGTAAGGTGCAGAGCTGACACCCAGCACGTCAGTGCACTCAGGGGAGGAGAGCCAGGAAGGGGATTTGTTGTCCAGCTGGCATGGGGGGTGTTTGTGGGGCTGCCTCTGGGGTGTCAGAAGTTTGGTGTGCAGCGTGCTGCTGATACGGGATGGGAAACTGCTGCTCTTCACAGCTGTCAAAAAGCTCAGGTTAAGCAGATGGACTCCAGTACCTTGTCCTGCACCTGTTTCAAATAAGCTGCAGACTTCCAATTTTATGATACAGAACCATGGGATGGATCAGCTGGAGAGAAATTTGCCTTGCTGCATTCAGGGCAGTGAGATGAGGAGTTGTGTTGGTGTGAGCAGGGTGGTTCCACCAGTGCTGGCACAGCCCAGAGATGGGCACTGCAATTCAGGCACACTGAGGACCCTTGCAGTGCTGGTGTTTTGGTTATTGCAGTGTTACCACAAGGAACAGATGATCTGTTTTGCAGAAAACTGGAAAACTCAGTAATTTCTGACCATCTTAGTGCCCCATTTGGTTTACCTTTGCCTGTTTGGCTTTCAGCTGGAGATCCAGGCTGGGAATGGATTGTATATGAGGCAAGCAAAGGCTCTTACACACAGTGTTTCCTAACTGTTTGCAAAAAGTCCCTTAATTGTTTTTATTAAACATATTCTGTGTTACATTCCACGGTAGCCCAGCAGGAGAAGTAGATAGAGTGAAAAATAAGTTGGCCTGTACTCGAGGCCACGGCAGGCTTCTGTGGTTTGACATTGTTCAGTGCATTTCCCTTCTCCTTTAGCTCAGCTGAATTCATTAGTTCTATCTGTCATGCTGTGCTGCTTCAATCAATGGTGCTGCCTTCTCCATCTGAAAGGCAGACCATAAAATCACAGAGATAGCAAGGCTGTGGGTGTTGGAGGTCTGTTAACATCAGGAATTACAGAAAAGCCTGCTGCTTACTAGATGTGAGTAACCATCTAGATGGCCTTGCTCCTGTAGTCCACCAGGCTGCTCTGATGCAAGTTTTCCTATAAATCTCTATTTTCAGGGTGTTGCAACATGGCTATAAAAGCAACTCAATGAGCATAAGCATCTTGAATAATGCCACCAGGTAATCAAGTACCTGCTATTTTTACCATTGTTTGAAAGCAGCTTTGCTTAAATTTTTGTAATGTGAAGATTCTTTTGCCATGAATAATCTGGTTGTCTTTCCTGAGTTTGGTACTCTTGCTGGATACCTGCTTTTGTAGTGTCAGGGAAGCACTATTGTTCTGGGAAAGCTAATAAATGTAGCTATAATTAATTCCTACATCTTTGGTTTAAGACATGATGTTGCACACAGCAAAGCTGCCTTCTCTTAAAAAGCAGACCCCCTTCTACTCCCTGCCAGCATGGGCACAAATTTTCAACTAGCCAGAAATGAAATGTGAATTTTCTCTGATGGCCTGAAAGCACAAAAGCATAAAATCCAGGTACTTGATCACATGGTGGCATTATTGAACACAGAGCTGACTGTAAATTCATGAGAAGGAATTGCCACTCTCTCACCTTCTGTTTGCTCCTATTCTGTATGAGCCTCTCAGTCTGTAGCAGTGAGAACTTTCCTGTCCTGCCCTGGTGAGTCAGCCCTTTCCCATTTCAAGCAGGTGATTCTAGGTGATGTCATGGTGTTACACAGGTTTTCAGGGCCAGGATGACTGATAGCATCTCCCTTTTCTTGCTCTGACAAACACAAGAGCCCTGCCTTCAAAGAAAGTATTATACAGCTTTATAAATTAAAACCCTGCATGGATTAGAAGGAAATAGAGGCTGCTGCCACACTGCCTTTTCATGGTTTTGGGGTGTTTGGGACCTCTCAAAAAAGTGGAGATTTTACAGATAAATACCTCTAAAATTCTGGACTAAGGAAGGTTAGTTATCCTGGTGCACATCAAGATGTGGGATACTGCAACATTGCATGCCATGTTGGATGATGACAGAGGATGGATACTGTGTTGATTTAAAACAGAAGGGAGTCAGGAATGCTGTAGGGAGCAGGGATGGAGATGAGCTGCAGATTTTTTTGTAATCAGATTTTCCTGTTTCAGCAGAAAGCAATTGGCCAATGTACCTTTTCTGGTTTTTAACTTTATTTCAGTGTGTCTGGGTTAGTAGGGAGAGGAGAGAGAAACATGGATCAGCATCCAGGTGTCCTGTAGGAGTAAATCCGTAACCTGTAATTCACATCCCTCCTGTTACTCATGCTCAGGTTGTTTGCTGGTGTTTTTTTGTATTGGATATGTTGTCTTTATAAGTCACTGATGTGGCAGGATGTAGACTGTGCTCCTTTGGGAGCCAGGGCAGGTGGGAATGAGGCTGTTCAGTGTGTGGCCAGTGCAGCATCTCACCAGGTTGCCAGCAGCTCTCACCATGAGGTGATCTGGCACAGTGTCACTGTGGCATCTTTCACAGCTTTTCCAGCCTGTTTCCTCCTGCATCCTTTGGGCTTTTCAACTCACACGTTCATCTGTAATGTTTTCTCAGTGTCTATAATATATAAAACATGTAAAAAAACATGAGAAAAGACTTAAGGAAAATTTTGTTTGAAAGGAGAGGTCAAATTAATATTTCCAGTTTGTGGCCAGGAATTTGAGAGTATCTCCAAGAGGACCAGAAGGTTTGTTTACTGAGGGGGAGCAAAGATGATTGTGACTGGCTGCATATGGTCTCAGTGACTGCAGCAAAGCTCTGCAGACAGCTGGGAGGGCTTTGCCCTGTTGGGATTTACTGCCACGTGGGAATCCTCCTGCTTTGCTAAAAGTCATTTTATGGCATTATGAGCCAGTGGCAGCGGGGCTGGGAATGGGCTCCGGCGGGGCACAGGGAAGCAGGTAGCCATGGCTCTGGGCTTCATGGTCAAAAGGTACCACTCCTCCAGCCACAGCTTCTTCTACTTTGGGTGAGTTCCTGTTCTTCCCTCCTTGTCTCTTTGCAGTGGTTAAATAGCACAGCTCGTGTAAATCATAGAAGCAAAACCTGCCGTGTTTTTCAGGTTCGCTCTAATTTAATGCCGGTTTTGGAAAAAAAGGGTGGGGGATTTTCACCCTGATTTAGCTGTCAGGATGGAAATCTGTGTTACACAATGCATTATTAAGGCTTGACTCACTCCCAGCTTGCATTCATTCAGCATATCTGTAGCTATCAGCACACTGGAGTGTGGGGAAAGGGGAGGGAGGAGTGGTTTGTTTCTGGAGGGACGCCTCACTCCTGGCTTGGTGAACCTATTTCTTTCAGCTGTTGTTTGGTTTTTCACTGAAAATTGAACAAGACTCTAGTGTTTGTCACAGACCTTCCCCTTGGTGCTGGGCTACTCTCTCCCACCTGCAAGCTCACTTGACCCCTTTATAAATAGATATTTCTTAATGGCTGATGCTTCTCTGCAAAGCCCAGGCTCCTCCATGAAGCATTCACCTTGAGTTTAGCAGGGAAATGAAACTGCATCAATTAAGCATTTCTGGTCCATCAAAACAAACCAATTGGAAACGTTAATAGCAGAGACCAGAGGAGAGAGGAGAACTCTCCTGCTGTGAAATTCAGCAGCCTGCTTGGCTGAACCCTGAGAGGTGTCTGTTAGACAAGCTGTGATCTGCAGGGAGGGCAGGCAGGCAGGGAAGGGCTTTGCAAATCCAGGATTCAGACAATGAGGCTTTGGGTAGGACCTTGCCAGAAAAGACCAGAATCTCAGTGGAAGACTACAACAATATACTCAGAAAAACCCAGTGTTTAATCACACCTGAGTGTAACTTGCAGATAAATAAGTTACCCTAAGTTTCTGATTTTAAAAAAAAAATTAATAATAAAACTGGTTAGACTTGTAGAATTCTTGACCAAGTAATAGGATGTTCAGATAATTGGCAGTTGGAAAATGAAGAGGGGTGTGGTGCCTACAAAATGAGCATTTGGACAGGGAAAAACCTGGTGCTGCAGCACGGGCAGAGCACGGGTGAATTGCAGGTGATGCTGGAGACGGTAGGGTCCCGTTCCACGGGGCTGGGAGCTGGGATAACAGCAGAAAATTCTCTGCATTACAGTCCAGGCTCTCTCCTGTGACTTTGCAGAGTGGCTAAGTATTGAATTTGACTTTCTGCTCTCGGGGAGTGTCTCCCAGCGCATGAGGATTGCTGGAATTATTTGAAGCATGCAGACGAGCAGCTTGGTGTAAGGCAATTTGGAGACTTGGCTGCAGCTGGGTGCTTGGGCTGAGTTCTTTCCTTTCACACCAGTTTGGTAAAGGAAAGTTCATTTTTAAACTTTTTCTTTTTTTCAAATCTTTTGGATTATTGATGTCCACAGGCTTGTTTTACAAGTAATATAGAGCTCTCCCTGGTAAGCTCGGTAATTGGAAGTCTTTTGTGCCTTGTAGGTTGGCTTTTAAATAGGTCAAAATCAGCAGGAGAGCTTCATAACCAGAGCAATTAGGATTTAACCCTTTATTCTATGTGCCTTATAGACAGTAGAATAGAATAGAACTTTGCTAATAGGCTGCTGTGTGCCATGGGCAGCCACTGAAAGCCAGAGGTTTCCAGTTCCCGACTTACAACCAAGATTTTCCTGTCATGGAAAATTACTGAATTATGGTGTGCGAGGAGAAAGGGTCAGCTTGGGGCTGGGCCAGCAACATGGGGTGGTTGGAGAGCTCTTTTTCAGTGGCAGTTGCATGCTGCTGCCAGGTCAGTGGTTTAGGGCATTGTCTGGGCTCTGATTTACAAGGAAGTGATGCAGCTCTGAAGACCAGTACTCCAAAACATGTGAAAAGAGGTGAGAAGTTTAAAATGTTCCCTGACATGTTCCTCCTCTGTCTGTTTTTCCTATGGGAAAGATATTATGGAGAATATGTAAGAATTATTTGGTGTCTTGGTAACTGTTTGAACTCCCATGTAGTTCCTTTGCAATCTCTGTTGTTTACAGACATAGATAGAAAAAGCAACAGGATAAAAAGTTGATCATGGGAGGTTAGTTGTAATTTAAAACAGGATTTGTGTTGTTAATGGAGCTGTTTAACAGAAACAGATTTGTACAAACAACCCTTCCCCCACTTTTTGCATGTGTGATCTTCCTGTTTGCAGTAATCTGCTTCCCTGGGATTACCTCTCTGCTGACAGTCTGAGCAATACTCATTTTCCCAGCAGCTTCCTACCTAATACAGGAAGGACCCTGTTAATCCAGCCCCTTTGCTGGACACTGGGACATGAATTAGTGGCATCTATAGCAAAAGGAAGCCAGCAAGCAATTTTCTTTCCTTTTTACAGATTCAGCATATCAGATGAGGCTTTAGAGCAGCAGAGAAGTATTATTTCTGTATAATTATTGCCTGTATTGATTGGGATGCTGCTGATATAGGCACAAGTCAAAGATTTGCTTTGCAGATCTATCAATAGATGAAATCTATACTGTGGTGCTCACAAATGCATGTGCTTGTGTTTGTAAAAGCATGTGGTTGCATCTAACCAACAGCTTTAGGATGTTCTGATGTTTATGGAGGATAAAGTGTCAATTCTAAGCCACTTCATCAGTTTATTGAGCTGTTTTAAATATGGTAACTTCAAAGGATTGCTGGAACAGACTGACATTTGTCTGCCACGGGACCCTGAGTCAACAAAACTACCAGAGCTCCAGCTGCTCTGCAACAAACCCAAATGCTCACAGCCCACTAGTCAGAAGAGCAGTGGAGCAGCAGAGATGCTCCTAAAGGTGTGACTTACATGGGATGTGCAGGCTTGGAGTACATCTGCTGTGTGTACTGCCTTGCCCCTGCCCTGTTCCCAGAGGCTGTTTGGAGGCTTTCTTGGAAGATTTCTTGCTCTCTCACATTGCCTTTAGTGTCTGGATCTCATCAGAGCTGTAGGAGAGGACAAGGAGGAGCCTCTCTGTCTGGGCAGGTCACCTTAGCCACGCCTGCGGAGCGGCCGCCCCTCGCCTGCTGCCTCTGCTGCCTGCCAGCCCCCCCTGATTCCTTAGGGGATGCTGTGCCCTGGCAACCCAGGAGCAGGCAGGAGCCTCTCCTGGCACTGTGGGGTGGGAGCAGAGCTCACAGGGAGGGAGCTTTCCTCACCAAGGAGGGAGCTTTCCTCACCCTAGCTGTGGCTGCTCTCCTGGCCCCAGCCTATCTGCCTGGCATGCTGTTCCTCTGAAATCTGTAACCCGAGGCTTGAGGAAGAACTCCTGTTGGATTTGTTTGTGCCTTTCTTGCTCTCCAGGCAGGATTTGTTGTCTGAGATGTAGCAGGGAGCAGGAAGTTTGGAGGGAAGGGCTGTGGCATGTGGCACCGCTATGATCTGGAGATGCTCTGCTAAGTGGCTCTGCAGTTGTTTCGTGTAGGTCTGCTTGCCTTGTCTTGCTCCAAGTGCAGCCTCTGCCTAACTGGAAATTGCTACATGTCTTTTTCCCCTTTTCTTTCCTCTTTTCTTTGGTAATTATTTCTCTTTCCCTCCTCTTCCCCCTCTTTGTTCTCACTCTGTGCTTTCCTCCACTGACCGGGTGCTGGCTGCAGGCTCCCAGTACTTTGTAAGGACAGGAATTGCTCAGAGTTTGGGGCAGGGACAGAAGCCAAGTGACCTCAGCAGTGCTTTCTTGAGAGGAGAAATTAGAGAGGATTTTGCAGAGATGACATTCAAGTGGTGTATTGTGGTGTGTTTATTTTAGACTTGCCCTACCTTAGCTGCAGCAAGTGCTCAATTATACATGGCTGAGGTTTGGGTTTGCCTTGGTTCAGCTGCTGCTGGAACCTGTTAGAACAAAGCACAGCACAGCCAACGCTCCTACCAGGGCTGCTGCTTTGCATCTGAAATCTGTCTTTGGAATATTCCTCCCATCAAAGGGTTTTGCTGCCTGCACTTAGGTCATCCAGTATATTAAATGGGAACAAAGTTCTCCCTCTGTTTAATAAATCTTATCGTGTGTGAATCTGCTCCAGTACCTTCAGCGTTTCATTCCGTACAAAAGAGCAGCTGGGTGAGCTCTGCTTGTTGCATTGCCTGGATCCTTTGTGGTACCCAAGGTTTTGTTAAGCAGCCTTTGTTAAGATGCCTTTTCCAAATGTTTGGGGTTTTTTTGCCTCTGAGTTCCTCTATAGCTCGCAGGTAGGAGGAGTTTGATTTTGCTAAGGATAAAGAATGTGAGGATTGTTTTTTTTGTATATGTGAGGGAAGTGTACTAGTTACTTTTGAAAATTAGGCAAGCTGTTAGAGGTAGCTGTGCTTTTCTTTCCTCTAGAAATAACAATTTTAACATTTTCCATTTGATACTGGGGATTGAATCAAAGAGGAAATACTGTGAGGACAAACACAGGAGCACTGTCTTTCTTTGAGTGATGTGCACAGAGCTGATGCCTGCCTACTTCCACATCTGTTCCTTGTGCCCAGTCACACTTGCTGGATGGGCAGCCACATTTATGGACTCGCCTTCAGGGATCACTGAGCACAGGGACTTCAATATCTTAACAAAAGCCAGACCTGCCAGGTCAACAGCTCCTCCTCTGCTAAGCTGGGACTCTGTGCTCTTCCTCCTTGTTGGTCAGCTGTGAAGGACTTGACTAAATTCCTGCCACAGGAAAAATGTGTCTGCACATGATGTTTACCATGAGATGCAAGCTGTGCCTCAGGTGCTTTATGACTGTTGCAGAAGCCTCCAGGGCAGGTGTCAGTTTGGAGGCAGAAGGAGAAGCCACATCAGCTCTAAACTGGGCACATTTTGCAGTGCTGTTTGACAGCAGAGCTCCCCACTATGCACAAATGTTGCATTAAATCATATTGGGGGTGTACAGAAAGGGTTAAAACACATTTGATAATGTCACTGTTGATTGCCAAAAGCTGTGGCATAGTGGAGGGAGGGAAATGTCTTTGAGAAGTGTTCAAGAACTGGTGGGGACAGAGAAAACTGCCTTGATGAAAAGGTGCTGTGAATGTGGGAGATTTCAGCTCTGGCGGAGCTCAGGGATTTACAGGACAATCAGCTGGAAAGGAGAAGCAGTATGTGTTAGTGAGAAAACAGTATGTGTTAAAAGAGAAAGAAAGTATCCATAAAAATTGGAAATTGAAGTTGGAAGAAGCAGCTGAAAAGGAAAATGCAAAATGACTGATATGAGCAGTCGGGAAGTGGGATGGAATTTGTGTATTTGACTTTAGTGTAATGGCTTGTTGTTAAAAAATCAAGTATATTGTGAAGGGTCATCTGCTGTAATGAATAATCCTCATTCTGCATTGGTTACAGATTTAGGGATCCCTGTGCTCTTTGCTGCTAATACACAACATCTGTCTACTAATCTAGCTAGTAACAAGTATTTTCAGTAATACATCCAAAGCTACCTATATGGGCTTTTTAAAAATTACAGCAGCTAGGTTCTGAAGTTTTTGCTGCTGTTCTTTCACTGACAACTTGGCAGCTATAATTTCTAGGTCAGTGGGAATGGACTTCCTAGGCTGGATATTGCCTTGGGAGTCTGGGGTTACTGGCCTAATGTTACTTTCATAAGGTTTGCAGACTAATTGTGGAAGTTGCTCTGAATAAGCACCGAGACAAGCTGCAGCTTTGTCTGGGATCTTGCCAGCTCTTTTTGGTAATTGTGAGAAAAAAAGACATTTCCTTCCTCCTTGTTCTCCAGACCACGTGAGCTGCCCAAGCTGAAGGAGTCCCGTTCCCATGAGTCTTTACTGAACCAAGCCAGCACCATAGAGACTCTGGACTTTGCAGCAGAAGAAGCAGTCTTTGTCAAACCACTTCACAACAGTATCCTTGGACGAGACTTCTGCTTTGAGGTAGGGACAGGTTCCAAAACAGGCAGCTGCCATCCCCCTGAACCCTTGGGGAATGCTGCTCCAGGACTGGGGACTGGAAAACAGAGCAGCAGCCACTGCCTTGCTGAGGTTTAGGTGGGGGCTCTTGAGCCACCATGTGACTTTTGAAGTCCTTGAGACTAGTGGCTTCATTCACTGAACAGAGAGGAGTCTTTTTCTAATTGAAAAATCTCTTCAGTTTGAAAAGCATTTGTAGTGTGCTTGCAAATGTATGGTTGATACATACAGCACAATGGATATGCAATAGTATGTACATTAGCTGTGTGTTCACCCTCTCCAAATTCACCTAAAATTGAATTTAGAAAATTTACTGTAACCAAGAAATGAGTTTTCCAGTCAGAGCCCCATTCCATTAGCTCAGTGCTTTCAAGTTGCTAAAGGAGAAGCCTCAGTGGCCGTGGACGTGTCCATTGCACTATGAAGCAGGATCCAAAGCTCCCTTTGCTGTCTCAGCAGAGGCTGCAGGCTGTGGCTCCGAGCTCTGCTCCAGAAACAGGCAGAGACTCTGAGTGTGAGCCCTGTCCTGCCATCAGAGCTCCAGCAGTGGAGCCCTGTGTGTTGGGATGCAGCTGAGGCCATGTCACCTCTCGTGGCAGGGGCAGGTCACTCTGTCTTCAGCAGGATTAGTCAGATGTGTCTGAACTTCTGGAACAAAGATCTGTTTACAACCTGGAAAATTCTGGCAGTAAACCAGCAGATCAGGCTCTGGTCCCTCATGATGCATCCAGGAACTGTTCCTGTTTGCTTCAGCCTCATTCTTCTGGTTGGAAACAATTTGCAGCTTGCTTAGGCTTGGGGAGTTGGGTGGAAAACACTGGCAACAGCCTAGCTCTGAGGCTGCTGCCTCAAACTGCTTTGTAATTGTGAGCACAAATGAATGGAAAGAGTAAATGAGGCTTGTCAGGCCACGTAAGAGGGGAAGAAACCGAGGCGGTTCCCTGGTGTGGGAAAGCAGAGCTGCCAGGCTGGAGCAGAGCACAGCTCCCTCAGTTTGTTTAGGCTCTTGCTGCCTATATGGACCCCTGGAAATATTCTGTATTTACTGAAGTCATTATGTCCAGTGGGTTTTACCTTGTGCTAATGCATTGTCAGTTCTGTCTTTGCACTGTCAGTAACCAAATCCTGTGCCCCTGGGCTGTAACAGGGAAATCAGCAAGCTTTAATAGCCACAGATCAATTAACAAATCTTTAAAAAAAGAAATATTAACTGGCTAATTAAAGCTTTGTTTAAAAGTCTTTAAGAGGAGCCTCTGGTGCTCTTCATTTTATATAAATTCTTTAGTTTCTTTACTTTTATAGAACCTCAAACTTCTTTTGCTCTCTGTGTTTTATGGGCCTTTTATCCTCTCTGCCTTCTAGGCCACTGTATTTTTACCTCCCCTTTTCATATTTACTTTGTTACTCAAGCATTGTTTATCTTCCTCCTTGCTTTTTGCAGCCTCTTCCATGGCTCCTAGGCTTGCCTGAACTCAGTGTGTCATTTATTCATTCCAGGTAACCTACTCCAAGGGCAGTAAATGCTTCAGTTGTTCCTCTGCAGCAGAGAGGGACTGGTGGATGGAAAACATACGCAGACTATCGCAGCCAATGAAGGTAATAGAAACTGCAAAAATAAGATTAGTGGGGGAATGGAGGTGGTATGATTGGATTTTAGTCCAGTGTACCAGGGCTTCCCACAGATGCATCCTCAATTCATTTAGTCTGGGGAGGCGTCTGCTCATCCAAGTGTCTAAAGCTGCCGTGTGCTATTCCAGGGAGTGCACTAGGTCAGACCTTGAATGAGTAAATACACACCAGCCTGCTTCCTGATCCCTGTCCCAGTGCCAGCGTGGGGTGCAGGCTGGATTCCTGAGGCCATGCACCTGGGAAAGATGGGGCACCCTTTGATAAGGGTCATGTTTTAATCTAGGAACCAAAAAAACCAACATTAAACCAATTGGAGCTGGAGTGAGACGGGGAATCCAGTTATAGATCAGCTGGAAGTGTCTGATAAGTCACTCCATAGCTGCAGTCCTGCCTCCCAGGGACAGGCTAACAGTGCTCTGGGATTCCTCACCAGTCTGGCAGCTTTGGACAGGCTCTTGTGCAGTGTTTGTTTCTAAAGCATTTCAAATACAGCTTTGGAAGAAGAAAAATATTCTAGTCCTCAACACTCTTGTCATACAAAAGACAACCCTTTGCCTCTGTTTTAGAAAATGTCCATTTTTCTAGAGATTCCAGCTCTCTCTGGATCAGACAATCTGATTCTGAATTCTGACTCTGTCCTTACCTCAGACAGAAAAGGCAGCACCTTTGCTGCTGCTTCAGAAGATGAAATATTCATCTTTTAGGGGTCTTGACTGAGAGCTGATCTCTTTCTCCTGCACAGGACAATTGCCGTCGAGCTGAGAACGTGCTTCGCCTCTGGATCATAGAGGCCAAGGACCTGACCCCAAAGAAGAAATACTTCTGTGAGCTGTGCCTTGATGACACCCTCTTTGCCCGCACCACCAGCAAAGCAAAAGCAGATAACATTTTCTGGGGGGAGCACTTTGAGTTCTACAGCCTCCCACACATCCAGAGCATCACGGTTCACATCTACAAGGACGTGGAGAAGAAGAAGAAAAAGGACAAGAACAATTACGTAGGGCTGGTCAACATCCCCACGGCCAGCGTGACCGGCCGCCAGTTTGTGGAGAAATGGTACCCAGTCAGCACCCCTACAGCCAGCAAAGGCAAGGCTGGGGGCCCTTCCATCCGCATCAAATCCCGCTACCAGACCATCACCATCCTGCCCATGGAGCAGTACAAAGAGTTTGGGGAGTATGTTACCAGCAATTACGCCCTGCTGTGCTCCGTGCTGGAGCCTGTGATCAGCGTGAAGAACAAGGAAGAGATGGCTTCTGCCTTGGTGCACATTCTTCAGAGCACTGGGAGAGCCAAGGTGAGCACAGGTGGCTCCTGCTGGAGGGACTGTGGCTACTGATGAGGGATTCCTGGTGGAAACTGGGGGGCCCATGACAATAAGCAGCAGCAGATGTTGTGTACAAAGTGTAAGCAGGAGGACTCTATAACTTCATGCTATCCTGAAATCAGCACCTACCTTTGAGTGTCCCCTTGCATTTCTAAAATCAGGATGTAGGCTAAGAGCTGAGTGAACAGGAGGCTGGTAAACTGGAGAAGTGCTCCTATAAATAAGCCTGTGCTGCAGTGAGCCGCGGGCGCCGGCGCTGAGTCAGCGCTGAGTCAGCAGATCAATGCCAGCATCGATTGGTCAGCGTTTGAGCAGCCATTTGGGGATCTATGCCGAGTTAATGGTGATCCCACCTGCCCCTGGGATGCTCTTAGGACTTCTGGGTGCACACTGGTTTCTTCAGACGGGTTGTGGGAGAGTATCCTGCAGGTCACGGGAAGTTCTGGGAAGCATTGGCTTGCATTGATCTATCTGGCAGCTGCTGTGTGAGTAGTGCCATGCTGGAGGCACCTTCTGCCAGTGAAACCAGCTAGAGCAAGGAAAGAACAAGTCAGAGGGACAGAGATGTGGAGGGATGGCTGTAAACAACACCCAAGAGACAGCCTCATCTAACTATTCCAGAAAAGATCCTTTTCTGCTTGCCCCTTGGAAACATCTCTGTGGCAGTGTGTGTGACAGGAACATGTTCCTTAAGTGATCTGATGAGAGAAGCTGGTAGCTAAGGTTATGTTGAAACCCTGCTGGAAAATAGGCTCTGGATTGCTGCAGTGCCTGCTGCAACAAGTTGATAAATTAGTGTTATAACTTTGCATTCCTGGTTTGTGAAGTTTTGAACCTCTATTTCTGGGAGGCACCAGGTGGCTCAGGCTGCCATAAAGCTCCTAAGAGGGTATTTCCAGCTTATACTTCTGCTGATGGGGATACATCTGGATGTTCCCAGTTTGTGCCAGGTGAAAAGAATTCTTGTGGGTTTTGTTGAAAAGAAGCAGCAGTAATGGACTGAAATCCAAGAGTACTAAATGTTGTTTACTCACATAAAGTTACCACTTCAGGAAGTAAGTATTCCTGTAGAATTAGACCCTATATCAAGAGATTATTCTCTGTATCAAGGCTTGCTGACAGTTCCTGCATGGACAATCAAATACAGTTGATGTTAAGCCATGTAGATAATCAGCAAGTTGAATGTTAACTTCTTTTTTCCCAAATCATAAAGCACTTCTGGTTTGTGAATTTAATTTGTTAAGCCATTCTTCTTATTTAAATATCATCAAGCTGTAATAACTTGTGTGTCACTTCCAATTTGGATTTTAAAATCCATGTTTCTATGGGATGTTGCTTATAAAGATAAGGATAAATATAATAGCACAGTTTCTTTCAGTAGACAAAGCCTCTGATAAACAAGCTGCTGAGAGGTTCTGTTCTGGAGCCAAACAGAAACACAAGCTTGGCTGTAAAGGTTTTTTTTAGAGACTTTTGCTTCACCCTTTATAATATGTGATCTGTATCATTCTACAAATACAATAAGCCTGAGAGGAGACCTGCCTATTTCCTTGGCCCTTACTTCATGCAGCAGCTGCACCCCTTGTCTCAGGCTGAGAAATTATTTAATATCCTGAACTATCCTTCCTTCTTGGCTTCTGCAGTTAGCCTGCCACAACTGAGCTGGTTAAAATCACCTTTGCCATTTGACCTTTTTCCCTCAGGACTTCTTGACAGATTTGGTGATGGCTGAGGTCGATCGTTGTGCAGAACATGATGTCTTGATCTTCAGGGAGAACACCCTTGCTACCAAAGCTATTGAGGAATACCTCAAGCTGGTAGGACAGAAGTACCTCCAGGATGCACTGGGTAAGAAACCCCCTCTTTGCACAGCAAGGGCTGACCCTGAGCTGTGTCTGCAGCTGGGAATGTGGGGTGGGAAGGAACTGCGCTCAGCCTGAGTGTCTCATACAGACAGCACACTGTCCTGCTCTCAAAGCCCTTCCTCCACGTGGAGAATTATGCTCTTTGGTGCCTGCAGGAGTAGCACCCAAGGCAAGGTTTGATGCAGCTGAGTCCCTCTTCAAGTTTGTATTACCATGTTCTGGTTTTTTTGGGTAACTTTGTTTTGTGATAAAGAGGTATAACGCTGCAATTTCTTTGTGAGCAATTGTGGTTGTTTGATCTGATATATAAACAGGCTTGAAAAAGGGATTTTGACACATAGTCCTTGGAGAGACAAGGCCAGGGAGTGAGGCTGCAAGGCTGCCAAGCATCCCAGGACAGGAGATCAGGATGCATCCTGTCTGAGAAGCCTCTTGCCTGTGTTTGTCCTGAGTGCTCTTTATTCACTGACTCATGAAAACTGCCTGGCCATCCTGGGATCTCCTACTCCATTCTCCCCACAGGGTCTTCATGCCCACTGTTCAATGCAGGGTGGACTCTGATAATTTTGTTCTTATCCCCCCTTCTCTAAAAGGTTCTGCTCTAGTCAGAAGCCAGTGCCTGGGGAATTCCTGGCCACTCAAAGTCAGCAGTAAAGGGGACCAAACCCAGGCTCGCTGCCTTCCGCAGCTTCACCACTGTTGCACAATGAGCCACCCACCCCCTGTTGTTTCTGGGATGAAGAAAGCTTTGGAAATTGATACAAGAGAAACAAGATCAGGCCAAAGCCAAGTCCCACACCACATCCTTTCACAAAAAGGAAAAAAAGCCAAGCTGCCTGCTTTCCCAGCAGTCTCGCCTGTCCTCACAGTCCCAGACGCTGGCAAGGCATCAAGGAGATAGCTGGCTAAATTAGTGCTCCAAGGGTCAGTGTAGTCAGCTCTGGGATTATATCCAGTGTGGCCGTTTCTGAGGTGTAATGAGCCTGTTCTGGTAGTCTTATTCTCCTGGGTGGGACCACTGAGTGTAAGTCACAGTTGTAGGCTCTCACCTGGTATGGAGAAAGGAGCAGCCTGGTGCTTTGTGCTGTTCTTCCCAGCAGGCTGAACATCAGCTGTGGGACCACTCCATTACAGCTGACTGCAAGCTCCTTAATGTGCAGTAATTGCATAAAATATTCTAACATTAATGACTTCTAATACATCATTTAGCACTGAGTGGTAAGATGGTAAATCACAGGCAGGAGAGATGGAAAATGCCCCTAAGGCTGTCCAGCTTGTCTGCAGCTCAGGGCAGCTTCACTCATGACAATATCCCCATCTGATTCTTTGTCAGGTCTAAAATGTCATTTTACTCAGCTGCCCTGGTCTTTGAAAGGATTAATGACACTGTGGTTGGTGTTAGCAATGTAACATGTCTGTAAGGGACTCCTATATCCTCTTATAGCAGGGTCTTGTGGGCCACAAAGATTAAGATTCAAATATGTTTAAGGTTAAAAAAACATTTTCCAATAAACAAGAGTTAAAACAGAATTGGCTCAACAAGTGATGCCAGCAGTTTTGCAAGTAAGAGATTTAGATGCCCTCAGCAAAAATTAAGAAAATGTGGTGCCTGTTTTGCTTGCAATGACACCAAGCTGAGATTTGGGGAAGGGGCTGAGAGGTGTTTAAGGGGTTTTAGGAAAGCAAAGGCTAAAAACAAGCCCCTTTTCCACAAATAAGCCTTGTGTTAGCTCAGAGCCAGTGAGATCATCTGAGGAGATGAACTTGAAAGACATTGAATCATTAAACCAATGAATAAAGGGTTTTTCCTAGTGAACACCCAACAGCTTAAAAATCACTTGGAATGCCTGCATATAGAAGAGGGAAACCACTGAGTGGTTCATTCCAGTCTGTCAGACAAAGCCAACTTCATGTGGTTTGTATGTGAGCAGTTTCTGTTGTGAGTCTGAAAGGCAAGGGTGACAGAAATGCCAAGGAGCTTGAAAGATGCAGGCCATAAAAACACTGTAAAGTGTTGATATAAGAGGTTGAGGAAATTAGCAGCATCTAGCTTGTGCTTGGGTATTACTCTTATTCAAGGGAAAGGTGACACTTTTTTAAATTAAAAAAAAAAAAGGCAAAATTAGCAATAATATAAATAAATATCGTTGCCAGAGCATTTTCTGGGGAAATTATGAAGACAAATAGCACACAGCTTCATTCCTAGGAGTGTGGATAATTTCATAGTTGGCAACGCAGTTTGCATACCAAGTCAAATCCTCCTCTCTAGGCCATGGGAAGTGCCTGCAGGGTTGCTAGGCAGAGCCATCCTGTTTTTGCACCTGTGCTTGGGGACAGCAAGGGCACAGGAGGCTGCAGCATCAGAGCCAGGCTGTGCTCTGCTGGGGAAGGGCTGGGAGGAGTGTCCCCAACAGCTGGTGTCTGGAGGCTGAGCTGCAGACACCCAGAGCAGCACAGGCAGTTGCCAGGGAAAGACATAAGCAGGATTTAAAGGTGTGTCAAGGAGGCTTTTCCTGTAACTACCCTGGTTCCTTCCTGTTCCCTTTTTCCAGGGGAGTTTATCAAGGCTGTGTATGAGTCGGATGAAAACTGTGAAGCAGATCCCAGCAGGTGCTCACAGAGTGAGTTAGCAGATCATCAGTGCAACCTGAAAATGTGCTGTGAGCTGGTCTTCTGCAAGATTATCAATTCTTACTGGTAAGGCACCTTCCTTCCCTCCCTTCGTCCCTGTTTGCTCTGGGGTGCCTGTTCCGCCTCTGAGGGTGAGGGAGCAGCTGTGGGACAGGGAAGGAGCACAGCCCCTTCCATCCTCCCAGGCTGCCTTGGTCGCCTCTCCTCAGTACCTTCCTGCATGTGACCAGATTGCAGGTGGAGCCTTGTGCCCAGACTGAGGGATCCCAACCCACAAACCACACCTCCCCAAATCCCCTGCCAAGGGAACACCTGCTGAGGGTGACGGGATAAGGAGGGAATAAAGTCAGAAGAAAATAGCTTAGCTTGGACTTGGCATAAAAAGCTGCAAGTTTTGATGTGTACAGAAGACTTTTAGACCCTTCAGATGTGTGGAACTGAACAGGAAATCACAGGGAGGAAGCACTGGCAGAGAGATTTCTATTAACTCTGTTTCTGAGTAGCAGTGGAAGAAGAGGGGCCTTTCTGCTTTGGCATAAAGTGAAGGCATAGAATAGAGAGCTTAACAAGCAAGGTAAAACTGTCAGATATGGAGATGAGCACGGTTTGGCTTGTTTGTTTTCAGTATTCCAACACCCTGTTTGCTCCAGGGTAGCAATGGATAAGTAGTTCTTAGCTTGCAAATCAGCCTGTCTGGAAATGGCTTCAGTTAACACAGATGAACAAGGGGTGCTTTAAAGACTGCTTAAGTGCCACCAGATTAAATGGGGATCTATGAATAGAGGCTTAATGACATTACCTAGCCTAGAGAGAAAGAGGAAAAAAAAAGGGTAGGTAAAAAAAGAGCTGATGTTTTCTCACAGATAAGTATTTCGGGTGACTGATCACCAGTTCAACTTTTTGCATCTCGTTGCCAGTGCAATTTCATTTCCTTTTTTTTTTCCTTTTGCTTTCAGCGTGTTCCCCCGCGAGCTGAAGGAGGTGTTTGCATCTTGGAAGCAGCAGTGCCTGAACAGGGGCAAGCAGGACATCAGTGAACGGCTGATCAGCGCCTCTCTCTTCCTGCGCTTCCTGTGCCCTGCCATCATGTCCCCCAGCCTCTTCAACCTGATGCAGGAGTACCCTGACGACCAGACCTCCCGCACGCTCACCCTCATCGCCAAGGTCATCCAGAACCTCGCCAACTTCGCCAAGTAGGTGGTGCCAGGGAGCAGAACCCTGCGGCGTGCCCGGCTCCTGGCTGTGCTCACAGGCAGCTGGCTCTCTGGCAAACTGAAGGCAGCTTTAGCAAAAGGGGAATCTTCTCACTTGGATGTGAACGCTTGAGACACCTCAGATAAATGGTCCTTATGTGCAGATTGGTGTGTTGAATTCTGTGGGGGGGACACAGCATAAAACCAAGAAGAGTCAGGCACTTGCATGTCAGTGTGTATATTCTTTCCCTTCTTTCAAAGGGAAAGAAGATCCTTGCTGTTTCAAGGATCATGACTTTCATGTTTTCACCCTCCAGAATTCTCAGCTGAATGATATAAAGGGCATGGCACATCTACATGCGAGGAGAGAAAGAGTATCTGTGGGAGGGAGCAGGGAAAGATGTGATTTGTAAAATAAACAGTGAGGTAGTAGTATTTAAGTAAGTACAACGAAGCAGTGAATCTCTTAAATTGTCCATGTGGTTTTTTCCCTCCAAGACTTCAAAATCTGAAGATTTTGAACTCTAAATCTTCAGAAAGGCAGGTCTAAAGTAAAGTATTTAAGTAATTGTCTGTAAACACTTGAATTCTGTATATTGTGTGGAGGTTATTGACTGAGTTTACCCCCACCTCCCTTTCCTGCAGGTTTGGTATTAAGGAAGAGTACATGGCCTTCATGAATGAATTCTTGGAGCATGAGTGGGGAGGAATGCAGCGTTTTCTGAGGGAGCTCTCTAACCCAGATACCATCTCCAACATGCCTGGATACGACGGCTACATCGACCTGGGCAAAGAGCTCTCGGTGCTGCATTCCCTCCTCTGGGAGGTGGTGTCCCAGCTTGATAAGGTAAAGCTGTTTGGAGGGCCAATGCAGGGATGGTCCCACGGCAGCAGGAAACACTGGGCAGTGTCAGGGGCAGCCAGGAGCTTGGGAGGGGAGGTGTGATGGTGCTGTGATCCGTCATTTCGGATCAGGGCCTGCAGCAGGGCGTGTGAGGTGGTTGGGCTTCAGCAGCACTGCAGACACTCTGCAGAGCCTTTGGGAAGGTCAGGTGCTGAGGGCATTGCTTGGAAGTGGATCTGAAATCCCTGGGCAGCCAGTCCTGTCTCATAAGTGAGGCATTAGGACAGGACAGGGCCACGTTGCTGTGCCCTGTGGTGCTAAGGGAGGTGCTTTGCTGCAGGGCACAGCAGGCCCTCCCCTGGTTCTGATGGAGGATTGAGTTGGCCCTGTGGAGCTGTTCTCATCCACAGCCCGATCCAAAGCCTGCTGAGATGCTCTCATTTCCGTAGTCTTTGATTTTGGCATAGCAGGAATGCCATGTAAGGAGCTGGATCTGCTCCGAGTGCCATCCTGCAGCAGAGCAAGATGCTTTCTGCTGTGCCCTGTGCTGGGCTCATGTGCAGTGCCCGGGTTCTGTTCTGCTGATCCCAGCAGACACCACCAGCAATGAACACTGCTTCCTTTTAGCTATACAAGCAGGAAAGGCAGAGCTTTGTTCTTCCTTAGCTATGTGGACAAAATCATTAAAATCTTGGTAGCAAAGGCAGTTGATAAGGCCCAGAAAAGCTGAACTGTGAGGTTTTGGGTTTTTTAAGTGCTTGGAGCTGTTCCATACTTCAATTTTTAGAGGTGCATTATTTTGTCCATGTTCCATGTATATTATTCTTTCTTTTGAAACTGGAGAAGTAAGGTGAATAGCAATGCACTCAATTTTTATTGCATTAGGGTTTGCCAAAGTAGTTACTGGTTATGTATCTATTTTTTCACTGTACATTATTTAAAAGAGAAAACAAAAATTTGAGCTTGTTGCATCAGAGTAAATTGAAATGTCCTTGACTCAAAAAGACAGCCTGCATATTAATCTTAGTTTGATAATAAGTTATGATGTTGTTTTTCAATTTACCTCATCCATGTACACAGTGTAGCTTCCAAATGTATGGATCTGCATGGCCCTTTCTCTATGTTAGATGTATGGATCCATCCTAGCAGGCCCTTGGGAGCTGGTACAGTGGTTTCCTAAAAAGAGAGTTAAGGGGTAAAGTTACATGCATTATGGCTTTACTGTAGGGATGACTGGGAAATAATGAGGAGCCACCTTGGAGATTTTAATAGCCACAGTGCTGTATGAAAGTGTCTGTAAACAGACCTTTCTCTGGAGCCAAACTGGCTGAATACCTGCTTATGGGGAAAACAAGGGTATCTTGGAGAAGAACATGGTTTTGTAGCAGAATTTTAATTTTTTAATGAATCTGCAGCTCCTTCACCTTCTTCCTGCAGTCCCAGGAACCTGGAGGTGCCCTGTAGCTGATCTCCCAGCAGTGGCCCAAAGGGGTGAGAAGCCAGGGCCTGGAGGAGCAGCCTTCCTTGCTGAAGGCCAGCTGCTCTTAGCCTCAGCCTGGCCAGCACTGAGCTAACCTGTAATTGGAGCCACACATTTCATCCCATGCTGATGGGTGATATTGGGATGAGGATCACTGATGCTCTCATGCAGTTATTTCTCATTCAAGTTTGGGTAGGGAAGAATGGCTTAATTAATTATTGATAACGGTGCAAGAGGAGATGGCATCCATGTAGGATACCAAAAATGAAAGGCTTATGAAACAAAAACCTTCCCTTTCCCTATCCCCCTCAATCCCTGCAATCCTCTCATGATCCCCCTCATCTGTTGGCATGCATTTCCTTTACCACATGACACCCTTTGCCTGGAAAGTTACCCCCACCAGCTGAATCTGTAGCCTTTGAATGCCCTTCAATGAGCAGATGCCGTAGTTTTCACTTTGACCTCACCCATCCGGGACCCAGTGTGCTTTGCATGATAGTTTTGCATTGGAATGGCAGTAGTTTTGTTTTATTGAGCATGATTTTTATTTTTGGGGGTCAATCCTAATTTCTTTTCTATTTCCTTTTCTTTCCTCAATGTCTGCTGCACCCCGTTTCGTCTCCTCCATCCATCTGGTCGCCGTCGTTGCGCTGCTCCATAACACTGCATTCCGATCCTGGCACACCCGCACACAACCACCCACCCTCCTTCCTTCCACTCCATCCCTCCGCCTCTGTGCATCGGTACCAAAAAAACACAAACCTGCCGGATGTCGTGGTGCTTGTATCCAATTAGGGTGAAAATTCCTTCCTACAGGCAACCGTGGCAAAACTGGGACCTCTCCCCCGTATTCTTGCGGATATCACAAAATCCATGAGCAGCCCCACACCCACGCAGCAGCAGCTGAAGCGTTTCACGGAGCACAGCTCCAGCCCAAACGTCGCTGGAAGTCTCTCCTCGGGACTTCAGAAGATAACTGAGGACCCCAGCGATGGGTACGTCCCAGCCAGGGCTCCAGGGCAGCTGTGGAGTTGTTAAAGCTGTGGAGGGTTGGAACGAGATGATCTTCGAGGTGTCCTTCCAGCAAAACCATTCTGTGGTTCTGAGGGTTGGGGGCTTCATCACCTGAGCTGCCCAGCCCTGCTGTGCAATGGGGAATAGACCATCCCAGTAAGGGGTGCACAAGGTGGCACTGGGCACCTGGAGCTTTGGACTTACCCAGGACTAACTACATCTCTGGGAGTCAATGACTCAAGCAATTCTGTGACTTGCTGCCAGCCTGAGTGCACAGTCAGCCATTCTGGCCAGCAGGCTGCTAATGGAAAAACTGAGCTGTAGGTGAAACTTGTTAGCTGTGGAACAGCAGAAGTAGTCCCTCCTGTGTTTTGTGCAGCACTTCTCATGCTGTAACAGCTGTTAATCTGGAGCTGTGACATGGCAGAGCTGCCAAAGGGCTTGGCTACTGCAGGTCCAAAGCAGTACTTGTGCTGTCAGGTGCAAGGGCCAGTTTGTCACGTGCCCCTGAGCTTACATCCCCAAAGGAGCCTTCACACACCTCCTGCTGAAATTTAAGACCTCCATAATACACAGAGTCACAGAATCATTAAGGTTGGAAAAGCCCTCTAAGAGTATCATTATCCCTGCACTGCCAAGGCCACCACTAAACCATGTCCTCGTGTGCCACATCTAAACACCTTCCAAGGATGGTGACCCCGCCACTGCCTGGGCAGCCTGAGCCAGTGCTGACAATCCTTTGGGTGAAGAAATGTTTCATGGCATCCAGTTTAAACCACCCCTGGCACAACTTGAGGCGATTTCCTTTTGTCCCATCTCTTGTTATACACTGACAAAGGGTTAAATGGCATCTGAAGTGTTGCTAGACACAGAAGTGACTAAGAGGGGGAGGATTTAGTGGCACTGGGTTTCGATTTCACCTGTAAAAAAAATAAAGATGAAGGACTTCTTGAATCAAACACAATTCTCCAAGATAAGCGGTAATTAAGGAAGAGTGTGTTCTGACTTGCACACAAAGAGCTCATAAAAGGAAGTCTGGCTCCTTGAAGCTTCCAGTGGGGGGAGGTTAAGTGAGGTAGGAAGACTTCTCTGGGACAGATCTCTCGGGGTCTTGGCTGCTCAAAAATTAACTAAATTCCTTTCCACTCCACAGTGACATAAACAAGATGAAGTCTCCAACCCAGGAAAATGTAGATGGACATTTTAGGGGCAAGACCTTACTGCTGGTTCAGCAGGCATCCACCCAGAGCATGACGTGCTCGGATAAGGATGAGAAGGTAAGTGTCTTGCCCAACGGCCGTAGCATCTCCCTCATGGACCTGCAGGACCCCCACACAGCTCACAGCGACGCCACTTCCATGATGCACGACGTGCCTTTGCGCCTGGCGGGCAGCCAGCTCTCCGTCACCCAGGTGGCCAACATCAAACAGCTGTGGGACACCCAGAGCACCCCCCAGAGCGCTCCCCAGGTCCGGAGGCCGCTGCACCCGGCGTGGAACCAACAGGGCAGCCTCCGGCCCCTCTCATTCCAAAATCCGGTTTACCAGCTCAACAACCCGAGCCCCCCCACGGCCAAGGCCTCCGTGGACTCCAGCCCGGAGAACCTGAGCACCGCCAGCTCCCGGAGCCGCAGCAACAGTGAGGACTTCAAGCCCAGCGGGCGCAGCAACAGCAGCCTGGAGGACTCGGCCAAGCGCAGCTCGCAGAGCGAGGACTCGGCGCGGCGCCCCGACAAGCACGTGCCGGTGGTGCTGCCACGGCAGAACAGCAGCAGCCAGGCGCAGATCCGCAAGATGGACCAAGCCGTGCTGGGCACCAGGGCCAAAACGCTGCACACGCTGACGCACAGCCCGTCCCTGCGCAGCACGGGCAGCGCGTCCGCCGCCTCGGGGGCCGTGGAGCCCGTGCAGAACGGGAACCGCTCCCGGCACCAGTCCTCGTCCTCCAGGGAGAGCCCCGTCCCCAAGGTGCGCGCGATTCAGCGGCAGCAGACGCAGCAGGTAAGGAAGTCCTGCCTCCAGGCCTCTGCTTTGGTGTGCAGCCCATTGCTCCGTGGCCTCCAAAGCTTTCTGGGCCTTAAATCTGAGAATCTAAGCTGAACCAAGAGTAGCAGCTGAACCAAGAGTAGCAGCACTTACACCAGTGGCCAGTAGCAAGCGTAAGGAATAGTCATGCTTATCACCCTCACAAGCCACCTTGTCTGTGCCACTGGAATGCTTTTGTGCTAAATCTAAAGAAAAAAAAAACCCCTGCTTTCCATTTACTAAGGTAGCGGCAAACCTGCTGAAAGAAACAGAACTGGAAAATTTCCCTGAATACAAAGGAAAAAAAATCCAGGAGCGGCTTTGTAGTGGTAGTTCAGATCGCCACGTGAGACTGTGTTTGCCCTGTGGTGCTAATTTAAAAGCAGAGCTGCCTTAAAACAGGGAAATGAACAAAGATAAAACATCACAGAATAACTGCTGCCAAAATAACAAATAAGCACAGTTGTCTAAAGTGTGGAGAAATCCATATTTCACCATGATGAAGCAATCTCTTGCTGTTCATCAGAAAAGTGCTGTTTTTTCATTAATCATCCAAAACTATGAATAATGCATATTTTTGGTGGAAAGGAGTGCTTATATCTACTAACTCCTAATGCACATTATCAGTTGCTCATAGGCAACTATAAATCAAGGTTTTCCTGTCAAAAAGCCAAGATTCCTTTATCTTTTTTTTTTTTTTAAATAACAATCCTGTTGTGATTTGCTGTGTATGAAAAGATTTTCCTAAATTAGTTTATTTTACAGAGGAAGTGAGTATTTCAATGCTACAGTGAAGGTGGAAAACATGATCTGCAGGTCAGGGCTCTTGCAGGGGGAAGGCTTTGGGCTGTGAGGTGAAGCTGGCAGAACAACCTCTGCTGTACCCAAGGTTTTCTTGGTGTTCCCTGACAGTGGAGCTTTTTTGGCAAACTCCTGAATGTTACAGGAAAACCTGGGTGGTACCTGGGAATGCAGGAGCAATCAGGGCTTCAAAACTGCTTTTATACCTCAAGTTCATTGAAGTATGAGACCTGAAACACTGAATCACAAGCCAAAGCTTAGTATGCCAAGTTAGTAATACCCAAAGAAGCAATTGTTTGTTATTTGCAGTATGTGTGTGTTTGTGTCTCCCTGCAGTGCGTGTTTTACAGTGGGGCATAGGGGCATGGCTAGGTGAAGGGTTTTTTGTGGAATGCAACCAGACCTTGTGTGGTTCTGGTACCACATTTTAAGCCAGTAACAAGGATAAAATGTGAAGGGGATGTGCATCCACTTGTTTTCCCACTGTACTTTCTATACTAATTGTTTCCACTGGATTCATTAGAGCACTTGCTCCTGCTTTATTCAGAGAAATCAATTTGTTCTCTCCTTCCCCACACCCATGAACAGCATCTTGAATGGTGCCAAATCGAGTGGCCAACATTTTTTTCAAGGCAAATTCCATTGCGTCCTTTTAATTGCAAATCTTGTTGTGGAATTCTGTTCTTGTTTAAAAAAGAGAAAGAGAAAAGAGAAGTTGGGCATGTTCTTTCTGGGCATGTTCTTTCTAGGCATGTTTTGTGGGCGTTATAATTATTAGACTCTGTTCTCTACAAGTCCCATTTGTTTCTGAATATAGAGCTGGGCCCTTTGTTTGCTGGGAGAGGTCACTTTTTGCCTTCCATTTCCATTTAGGAGGTAGGTGGGAACAGAAATGTCAGTGTGTTCCTCTGGAAGAGAGGCAAAGAGGGAAATTAGTACATGATCCTAGCATAATTCTTTTTTTGCCCTTTATTAGAGAATAACTGGTAACCCATTAGCATGAGTGACTTGCCATCCGCTTGGTCTTTGACAGCTTCCACAATTTGGCTGCTGGAAATGTTCTGTCCTAAAGTTGGAAGTTTGTTTGGCCAGGTTTGCTGCTGCTCAGCAGTCTGGTGCAGGGCTGGGGATGTCCTTTATAGTCACTTTCCTGCTGTCTGAGTCCCCTGTAGCTCCAGTGGCTGGTGACAGTGTTCCTCCATCCTGTTCCTGATTTCTCCAGCCATGCATGGCCCATGGTCTCCCTTGCTCTGGCTGCCTGACAGCAAATGCCATCAAAAAAATTCTGAATTAATGAGCTTTGCCAGGCTGCCACACCACACCAAGGGGGCTGTTAGCTTTCTTGTTGTGAAGACTTCCCTCTGTGCAAAAGGCCTTTGCCAAAATCTAAGGATTTTTGCCTAATTTCACAGCCATGCATGGTCCATGGTCTCCCTTGCTCTGGCTGCCTGACAGCAAATGCCATCAAAAAAATTCTGAATTAATGAGCTTTGCCAGGCTGCCACACCACACCAAGGGGGCTGTTAGCTTTCTTGTTGTGAAGACTTCCCTCTGTGCAAAAGGCCTTTGCCAAAATCTAAGGATTTTTGCCTAATTCCTATGCCTTTTCTTTGCCTTTACACTTCTGCTGAGGCTTCTTCCCGTGCTGAAGTGTCCATGGCTGCCCAGGACAGCTGAGCTGTGGGAGCAGATCCAGCCCTGTCTCTCTGAGCAGGAGAAACACAGCAGGGGGGTGACATGATCCCTGGCTCCTAAGGAAGCTGTTCTTCCCCCATGGAGAGCTCCTGGCTCAGACTGGGACTGGAGAAGCTCCAGCCAGGGAGCACAGTGCACTTGGGTGCACCACTGGGCCAGGCAGGGAGCTGAAGAGCTGCCTGGGCACAAAAAGAAGCTGCAGTTGGGGAGAAGTTGATCTTTTGCATTTCTCAAAAACATAAGACAATGTTGCTCTTTCAGGAGTAATTATGCTAATTCCTGCGCTTATAAACTTGTCTTTGTCTGTGAAAATTGCTTGGAATTTATAGCAAGCCATGTTTTCCCCAGCCAGGCAGAGAGCTTCTTGTCTCTTTTCTTGGCTCCCTTTTTGGATTCCCTTGAAGGGGAGAGAGAGAGCCTCCAAAGAGGTTGGACGTTTCTCCCAGTTACATCACACCTAAGGGGCTGTTAGCTTTTTGTGAAGACTTTCTTCCATGCAAAAGGCCTTTGTCTAAATCCAAGTATTTTTGCCTAATTCCTATCCCTTTTCTTTGCCTTTATACTTCTGTTGAGGCTTCTTCCCGTGCTGAAGTGTCCATGGCTGCCCAGGACAGCTGAGCTGTGGGAGCAGATCCAGCCCTGTCTTTTCTGAGCAGGAGAAACACAGCAGGGGGGTGACATGATCCCTGGCTCCTAAGGAAGCTGTTCTTCCCCCATGGAGAGCTCCTGGCTCAGACTGGGACTGGAGAAGCTCCAGCCAGGGAGCACAGTGCACTTGGGTGCACCACTGGGCCAGGCAGGGAGCTGAAGAGCTGCCTGGGCACAAAAAGAAGCTGCAGTTGGGGAGAAGTTGATCTTTTGCATTTCTCAAAAACATAAGACAATGTTGCTCTTTCAGGAGTAATTATGCTAATTCCTGCGCTTATAAACTTGTCTTTGTCTGTGAAAATTGCTTGGAATTTATAGCAAGCCATGTTTTCCCCAGCCAGGCAGAGAGCTTCTTGTCTCTTTTCTTGGCTCCCTTTTTGGATTCCCTTGAAGGGGAGAGAGAGAGCCTCCAAAGAGGTTGGACGTTTCTCCCAGTCAGCACAGCTCCCCTGGCAGGGCAGCTACACTGCAATGGACCATCCAAACCTGGCAGGCACTGCTGGGATCATGTCACACCTCCCTGCCAGGCTGTGCAGTCCCTTTCTCCACTGTAGTCTGTCCCAGCCTGGCTGAGGAAGCTGCTCCCAAGTTCAGCTCCTCAGCACTCCAGGGAAACCAGCCTGTGTCACCTGAGCACGCTGCGAGCAGAGCGCTGTCACTGTGTGTTCTCTGTGCTAGAGGTGGCAGGGTGAGAAAGCCTTGCTGACACTGTGGCAAAGGGAGGAGGTGGATGTGAATGGGCTTGGGAAACAAGAACTTTTTCAGAGAGAAGCTCACTTGGAGAGGAAGAGAAATTTCTAAAATGGATTGGTTTTAGAGGGATTCAGATAGGTGCTGTAGGTCCAAAGTCAAGGCAGGATGGAGTGTCCCTGCAGGAGACCTTCTGGGCATCCTTTGAGGCTGCCACATCCATGGGTATCTTCCTCCTCCAGCTGAACTGGATGTCAGAGCTGGTTTGTGTGCAGTTTGTCTGCACACACAAACCAGCTCACACCCAGGGTCTCTGTCCCAGGTGCAGTCACCAGTGGACTCGGCCACGCTGTCCCCGGTGGAGAGGACGGCGGCGTGGGTGTTCAACAACGGCCAGTACGAGGACACCAAGAAGGACATGACTCAGAACCTGGACGAAGTCAAGCATGCTGAGAAGGTAGATTTGATTCTGAGTGCTCTGCACCCCACAGCGAGTTCAGAGGGACTTTCAGGCCCTGCTGTCACAGTGTCACACATTCTCACACAGGTTATATTGGTTACAGTGATCACTAACTCTGTAAGTAAAGTAAATCAGGATTGTTAACCCCACTGAGCATAGCTCAGGACATGTGCAGGGCTGCAGCTCAGCTTTCATCAGTAGCAGCAGTCAGATTTTCTTGGGCTTCTACTAAGGCCTGTCACCCAGGTACTGCAAGGTTTCTGAGCTGCGCAGAAATCTGCATGTTCTGTTTTTGAAAGTGTATGTTTTTTCAGGAGTAGATGCCATTTTTCCAAATACAGTCACAGCCATGTATTGCTGTGGGGATGGAGTTGTTGTGTAAGAGGTCTGGCATTTTGAGAAGGCAGGGAGTGAGGAGAACATTTAGCGGACAAAGAAGCAGAAACATAGGATTGTTAGAAAAGGGGAATGAACCCAAAACAAAGCAATATATTGAGATTCATGGCACTATTGCAGAAATGATTGCCCAGAGAGGCAAGATGAACAAAAGCTCAGCCAAGTAAGGCTCTGGTTTGCAGTGGTTGGTTTGCTCTGACCTGCCCTGATTGATTAGGTCCTGAAGCATAAGTCATTTGGGTCCTACACAGGTCTGGATTTGTAAGTTTGGGCAGCCCAGGCCATTTCTGCAGTTGAGCACTGTTAGCAGCATCTGCCTGAAAACTGCTGGAGTCTGAAGCAAGGCAGGATGTGGCCAGTCAGGGCTGAGGAGCCATGTCAGAGCCCTCTGACTGCTGGAATTGTGCTGCAGAGTGATACCCCACAGCATGGGAGCAGCTGGATGCTCCTTTTCTATGATCGCCCCATGTTTGCTTCTCACTTTCTTTACTTCAGTCAGCTTATTTTTCACTTTAAAAAAACCCCAACACTCCCCTAAAGAGCAGTAGAGCATTATAAGGATCTGATCTCTTGTTTTTTCTCCTTTCCCCTGGTTCCCTGCTGCCTCCTGGCACGCCCAGTACGAGCAGGAGATCGCCAAGCTGAAGGAGCGCCTGCGCGTGTCCAGCCGCCGGCTGGAGGAGTACGAGCGGCGGCTCCTGGTGCAGGAGCAGCAGATGCAGAAGCTGCTCACAGACTACAAATCCCGGCTGGAAGACAGTGAGGACAGGCTGCGCAGGCAGCAGGAGGAGAAGGACAGCCAGATGAAAAGTATCATCAGCAGGTGAGGCTTTGCAAAGCTCAGGACTGGGTTTTCCAAGTGAGACAAGCGGCTCCCCTGTGTAGCTGAAGAAATGGGGATGCAGATGTGGAAACTTGCCTGAGATTGTCAGGAAGGTAAAAGAAAATGTTTAGGAATTTTTACCTTAGGTCTCGTTGAGTCTAGGTCTTTATTTTTGTTGTTTGGAATCTGTACATGAAATTAGTTTTGCAGAGCAGTGGCATTTTTGGCAATGTCCATTCTGAAAATAATAAGGTTGGGCAACTGGGAGTGTCAGTTGGAGAGATGAGCTTTCCTGAGAGCAGCAGAATTCTTCTCTTGGAGAGCCAGGAGAAGCAGAGAACTCAAACCAACAGGCCAGAGTACCTGAAACACTTGGGAATAATATTAAACTGTGCTAATTTGTCCCTCTCTTTGCTCATCAGACTCATGGCTGTTGAAGAGGAGCTGAAAAAGGATCACGCTGAGATGCAAGCAGTCATTGATGCAAAGCAGAAAATCATTGATGCACAGGTAGGTAAAGAACTTGGGATCTCCCAGAACCTGTGTGCAGAACCTGTTCTTGGCCCCTCTCTCCTGCCCCAGCACTGTTCTCTACCTTCCAAGCCATATCAGCCCTCAGTGTGACATGTGTCACTTATTGCCTCTGGGAGACAACTTTGGGCTTTATTTAATACTGTCTGACCTGGGCTTTGAGGCAGCCTGGCAACAAATCCCAGGACTGATCACGTCTCCAAAACCTTTGCTGCTTTGTGAGATCCCAAGGGAGTAAAGGAGTAGCAGTGCATTGTGTAGATGTTGTTCCACATGTGGGCCTGGGACCTCTGGGAAAGCTGTGCCTCACCCCAGCATAGTTTAGCTGCCATGTGCATGCATCTCAGCTGTGCCAGCAACAGCATGGCTTTGGACAGTGGAGTCCAGGGAAGAGAATGCTGCAATGGAGCATTGTCCTGGGAATGTCACCTGTGGCATTTCACCCCACTGGCCGTCCCCGGCAGTCCTGGGGAAATGCCCATTTCCCACAAACCTGCAGCTCCCACCTCGGTCACCCCGGGCAGCTGTGGGAAGGGGAGCCCAGTGGGAAGTGCATGTGGGTGTATCCTGTGGGGTCATTCCAGCTTTTCCTCTGTGTCTGTGCTGATCCTACAACAGAACCTGGGACTGGTTTCTATCTGCCTGCCGTGTTACGTTTGTGGTATTTGCATTTGGAGAGTCTCTTTCCTACTTCTGGGCTCTTCAGTAGTTCCATATGGAAATTTTCTTTAATAATTTTTTTCAGGAATAACCTAAGTTATTCCCTACACAGAGAGTGGTGGTGGGAGTCTCAGCTGAACATAGTTAAATATGGCACTGGGGTGTTAGAAATACTTGAACTGATGTGGGACTGTAGGGGAAATATAAAGCAGCAAAGAGCTGAGTTTTTTGGAGATAGGCACAGTCAGGGCATCTTGCTGTTACAAGCATGGAATGGCAGCTCATCCAGGCAGCAGCCTGGATTCTGAAATGGGTGGATCTGTTTTTCATCTTCCTCAAGGTTGGAAGGGCACTGGGCAAACATGCAAAGTGATTTTGGAGGGGAGAGATTGTGACTGAGTAAGAAGCTTGCCTGTTACCTGTGCGTGCCAGGAGGCTCTCAGCCTTGGTGTTGGTTCTGGGCTAGCAAGGAGGAGCATGGACCATTGTGATCCCTGTGTCACCGGCTGGCAGAGGGGACCACTGCTGACCTGTGAGACCTTCAAACCCTCAGGGCTGGAAGGGTGTAGTCCTTGGTCACACTTCATCAAGTGATGCAGCATTTATCACCTGTGGTGGAAACCAGTGAAAAAACAGGAGCAAAATGAGGAGCAGCATTAATGATTTCTCTCTTTCTTGGTCAAGCAAGGTCACTGGCAAACCTCAACTGCTTCACTGTCAGGCAGTGCATGGGGGAAGTGCAGTTGTCACTGTCCTTCCTCAAGTACCTGAGCAGAGCAGGAAACTGGTGAAAGACTCACAGCAGAGGGGAGCCCAGGTGTCTGCTGGGTTCTGTAGCAATCCCTTGAAGTCGTGCTTGGAAGATTTTATTTAGTCTGATTCCTTCAGTGGCTAGGAAAGGAAAGGTGTTTTTTTGTGTGAGATTTATTGAGAGGGGTGGGAATCTGGCTGAAGAGTTAAAGGCTGCCAGGAGCAGCAGTGGCCTGGGATCCTGTGCTTAGGGACAGCGGCCTGGGAGGGTCTGAGGGGTGCAGTGCAGCTCCCAGCACTGCCCCCAGGCACACAGACACGAGCTGCTCTCCTGGCTCTGGAGCCTGAGCAGGGAGTTTTTTGTGTGATTTATTGAGAGGGGTGGGAACCTGGCTGAAGAGTTAAAGGCTGCCAGGAGCAGCAGTGGCCTGGGATCCTGTGCTTAGGGACAGCGGCCTGGGAGGGTCTGAGGGGTGCAGTGCAGCTCCCAGCACTGCCCCCAGGCACACAGACACGAGCTGCTCTCCTGGCTCTGGAGCCTGAGCAGGGATAGGTCTGGCCAGACTCTCCTCGGAGCGGCACAGCTGCAAAGAGAACTGGCCCGGTTGCTATTGCAAGTGACATCTCCACTGTGTTAAATTACAGGTCATAAATGGGGATGAGATAATTCCAACAGGCAAGTAAACCCAATCAGTTCTCAAGCTGAGCAGTACCCAGTCCTGGCCCAGCACACTGACCTCCTACCCATTCCAGCTCCTCCTGCACCCTGAGCGTGTTAGAGACGTGCCTGGTAGATCCAATTTTCCTTTCAGTGAGAAGATGCCTCTACTCACCCAGCTTGTGCTTTTAAGATTGATTTTCCAAGTGTGGATTTCTAGCTGTTTTACAGACTGGTTCAGTGAGTGCTCAGCAGTGTCTGGAAACACCCAGCCCTTTGTTCTCAACTATTTGGGAAGATTTTTTAGAAATTTTTCAGGAAAAGTTTCAGAAGGAAAATTTTCATTTTAAATTGTATGTTTCAGGTGAAATACAGTCAGACTAGGAGCTTTGCCTGGCTGAGGAGCACATTGCTTCTGAGGCACTTTTGTTCTGCTGGGCTCATTTCAGCATTGGAGGAGAGACCTGTAACTCCTTGTCTCCATGTTCTCCCTGCTTCCATCAGCGGAACTGGGATGAGGGCTAAGGCAGGCCTTGTGCCTCGTGCCTCCTCCTCCTCTGTTGGCTTTACACAGAGCTCAGCGTCTTCAGGGCTGTAACAGAAGCAGGACTTAAATTCTGCTTTGTTTTTGCACCCGAGCACTCAGCCCCGTGGGGGAGCCCGCTGAGAAAAGCAGACATTGCTGATTCGTGCTGTAGCATGTAGCACACACTGATTGCTGGGATCTGAATCCCAAGGGGCTGTGGTGGCACGTGAGTCTCCTGAGCAGTGTGTCTGAACTGATCCTTAATGTTTATGCCTTCCATGCACTGTTTTTCCCTCCATTTTGTTTCTCAATGGACTGAACTGGGAAGAGTTCCCACGTGCAACTTGTTTTGGTTGAGCAAATGAGACATTTTCCCTTCTCAAAGAACAAAAGCCAATCAGCTGTGGCATGGAAAGCACAGTTGCCTTCCTGCTATCTCTAGCACTGCTTTCTGCAGCTGCATTATTATTACTTTTTTTGGGGAAAGACGGAAATTGTCATCTCTGATTATGCCAACAACTCCTTGGCTTGCTCCTCCAGTGCTGTATCCCACTGTTAGAGGCTGGGTCTGGTGATGGGTTATGTCAACTGAGCAGCACACATCCCTGAGCTGTCTGCTCCACGTGGAGGCTGCACGTTCTGTGCAAGGACAATCAACCAGGCACGTGCATTCGTGGAGCCCAGGAGCCCCCGAGCTGGAATGGGTCTAGGAGCAGCGTGTTCCGTGTTTGTTCTTTGTGTTCTGTCGATGGCATCTCCCCTCCACCCACAGTGCCTCTCCCCTCACCTCCAGTAACCCTCAGCGTTAGCTTTGGCTGCTGCTTCTCTGTGTTGCTGTTGCACCGTCACCGCAGGCTGCCATTATCTGCTTTTTTTTATTATTGTTTCTTTATTTATTTATTTCAAGCATCCCATGAGTTTACTCTGAGCACACTCCATCCAAAGCACAGAGACAATGGTCGGCAGATACCACTTGCACTTTTCTCTGCCAGATGAAATCCCCCACCACTTTTATTTTCTGCTGCCTGTTTCTGTTTTTCTAACGTACTTCTAAAATGTAATATGGAAATTGGCTACCATTGTTATTAACACCGACCCCCTCCCACTCCCCTGTGGCAAAACCCTGCCTGGCTGGGTGGAGCCTCCATACCTGGATCAATTCCCTGCTGTAACTCGGATTCGTCGCACAAAAAGCCCCGGAGGGCCGGAGAGGATCCCGTGCACCCTGAAAACAGAAAGAGGCAGACAGCCCATGCCAGGGAGCGCTGCCCAGCTGCCCTGCCCAGAGCCCAGGCTGCTCCAGCGCGGCAGCTCTGACGCTGTGGGGTGTCTTTGCAGGAGAAGCGGATCGTGTTCCTGGACTCGGCCAACACGCGCCTGATGAGTGCCCTGACGCAGGTAAAGGAGCGCTACACCATGCACGTCCGGAATGGCAACCCTCCCAAGCTTTCCATCACGGAGAATGGTGAATTTAAGAACAGCAGTTTCTAATTCTGCAGGTGCTGCCAGCCACCTCCGTGGAAGAGCAAGACGGAGCAGAGCCAAGACCCCTCACCGTCACTGATTGTTGCACATAGTTCTTCTGTAAAAGGAAAATTGTATTGTTTGAAGATTGTATTGTTTGAAGATTGTTCTAAAATTGTTTTAGAGTTGTATTTTAAAATTGTATTTTAAATTGTTTTAAGATAGTATTGTACATTCAATAAAGTTGAAAAAGCAGCTCCGAAGGGTGGGCTTTAATTCCCCACTCAGGGCCAGGAGAACCAGGTTCCCCGGAATAAGTCCTTGTGGATCACTGTGTAAATAGAGGGAGCTCTTGGGTTGTGTACAGAAAATGCCAATGTAATATACCAAAAGGAAGTGAATACTGTAGATTTTTTAATTATTGCTATTTTTTTTATTATTATTATTATTATGTTGTTGTTGTTGTTATTGTTGTTGTTGTTTTTCTCTTGTTGAAAGCACTGCAGTCCTGGGAGGAGGAAGAGGGGGGTGTGTGTGCGTGTGTGTTGTGGGTGAGAGACGTGAGCAGCGGGTGACCCGAGGCAGCAACTGGCTGATCAAAGGACATGAATGGAGTGAAATGAATTCCATAGGAAAACTCACCAGCTGGGTTTATTCCCCTCTTCCCCAGCTGGTCTTTAGCTGAATGCAAACTTGATAGCAAACGTTTTAGCAAGAGAACTGGCTCTTGCTGTGTCCTGTACCTACTTCTGATAGGACTCTGTCATAAAACAGTCTGTCTGAAGAAGGTACAAAGTGGGAGCAGCAAGCTGGATTCCTGGAATTTGCACAGTCAGGCTTCCTGTCAGACAGAGGGAATCTGCAGGATTTTGTGGTAGGATTCTTTCTTTTGTACCCCAGTTCTGATGCAGTTTTATATTTTCTTCTGTTTGGAGGATTTACAGACCTGTAAATACTTTTTAGACGATTTCTAGCCGATGCCCACTGTACACCCCCTGCAGAGGCACCCTGAATTCCCTCTCTGCTCTCCATCAGGAACAGACAGGTTAATCCTCTTGGGAAAGGGCTAACCAAAGGGTGCCCATGCCCAGCACAGGAAATTCCATATGCAAAAGTCCCTTTTTCTAGAGGATTTCTGTATTTTAATGCTTGCTTATTTTCACTATTTCAGCCACTTGCTTAGCCAGCGTAGTTCCAATGAAAGGTGCTTTCTTCACTGTTGTTGAAAGATCTTCCATTTCTGCTGAAATTTTCGTTTTTCTGGATAACTTAAAGGGATACTGCAGTTTTTTCTGGAGTTTTGACTAAGTTTTTGTCTCCAGTTCCTTTCAGTTGTGTTTCATAGAAGCATGATTCCAGACTGTGTGTGAATGGGATATCGCTCCAAAGTGACCTTCTCCTGGGAGACAGTGACATTCACAACCTGTAACAGACGAACAGCAAATGGCTTGGTATTGTCAATTCTCATCGTTTCATCAAGTGCCACAATATTTAATCTGAGAGAGGGTTGGCTTTTTTTTTTAATATCAGATTCTGGAGTCAAGTGTGAATTTTTACTTCCAGCTTTTGCTGTGCATTTCTAGCCCTCAAACCCTCACAGTAAATGAAAGTATTGCAGCATTGATTGAAATTGTTAATTACAGAAACATACTGATAACAGTGAGTGTGATTAACCATTCACAGATGTTGTGGAAATTGGAAAAGTTTACTTCAATTTGAGACAAAACCTTGAGAGGCATCTCAGTGTGGGATCGTCTCATGAAAAATGCAGGAGTGTCTAAGCCAGTTCCCTGCACATGAATTACTGGCAATACCAAGACCCAAACCTGGTGTCTGTTGCCAAATTTGCCTGGTTTTTGGAAATAAATTCACCCCAGCCCTGTGGCTGATGCAGGAGGTGGCAGAGCAGTGTGTGTGCTCTGGTGTCACGATGCTCAAGCTGCCATCACCACCCCTGTGTGTTCTGTGCATCAGTGCAGGCTGTGTGTGCATCAATCCTAGCCAGGCCTTCTGGAGCACAGCAGTGAGCTGGGATTTGGGATTAATGCTTGGCTCTTTGGGATCTGAGCTGCTCTGGCTGCTCGGCCAGGACTCGGTGCTGCTGGCACTGACACACCTGGGGTTGTGCTCTGCATTGGCTCAGCAGTGGTTACTTTTCCATACTTTCCAAACCGTCTTCCAGCTCTAGATCCTTGCTGACCTCTGATATTTTATTCCTCAAACTGTGCCTTTGAGTTTCTCCTTTCTCCCTTCAGGCATCACAGCCGTAGCAATTTGTCCAGTTTGTGTTGAGCTGTCACGTGAGGGCCTCTTTTACACAACCCTTTTTGTGGGCTCTTTCTGTGGGATCTGCATGTCCCTGTAGCCATGTGCTGTAATTGCACAGCTGTAGCATGGGGGAACGTGTTCCCATCCCTGTTGGCATGGGCATGTGAACTGCTCCCTTGTGGCCCGTGCAGGTGATGTGGGTGTGCTGTGAGCGAGGTGTGAGTGAGCGCCCGTGGGGCTGCACTGACAGGACACAGCAGAAGCACATGTGGTCTTCTAGGAGAGTTATTCCAGCATTATTTTGGGAAGCACCTTTCCCCAGAGCTCCCCAGTGCTCTGGTAATGTCAGAGGTTGCTGGCTGACCTGTGTGGTTTGATGCTGAGGTGTCCACTTTGGTTTCTGCAATAGGGGCAGCATTTCAGCCTGAATTTTTAGAGTGGGAATAATCCAGGCCCCAGTATTGGTGAGGTCTTTGGTAGTGCATCATTGCAATACTGTACCTTCTCCTGTGTGTTTCTCAAGCTTGTAGGAAAAAGCAGTGGCTCTCTCAGAGCCTGACCCCTCTCTGTGGTCTCACAGCTCGTTTCTCTGCCTTTCCACTTTCTCCCCTTAGGTGCCAGGCGTGCTCCTCTAGCTCTGCCACCGAGGGCAGAGCTGCCTGCAGACCCCGACCCCTCTCTGTGGTCTCACAGCTCGTTGCTAGGCTGATTGTTTCTCTGCCTTTCCACTTTCTCCCCTTAGGTGCCAGGCGTGCTCCTCTAGCTCTGCCACCGAGGGCAGAGCTGCCTGCAGACCCCAGAGGGGTGAAGGTGCAGAGTCAGTGCTGTGAGACACAAAACACTGCTCCTGAGTCCTGCAGGCAGCTGTCTCTCCTCGTTTGTCACCAAGCAGCCTTCCAGAAAACTTTCAGCTGCCTCAAGCTGACAATTGTGAAAATGCCAGTTTCTATTTTGTCCAGACTGATAAAATCCATGCTCTGTTCAGGAGCAGGAGCAGGAGCCCTGCCTGGGCCTGAACACATTTGGGTTTAGACTCATGGCTAGGGGGCTCTGAGGGAGTAAATGGTGCAATGTGTGATGGGAAGCTGGCTTTGTGTTCACACTCTGAGCAAAGGCTGATGGCTATGTCTAATGCTGTGCTAGAGCTGCTGCTCTCACTGGGGAACAGAGGAAGTAGTGCAGGAAAAATTGGATAGCATGGAGGAGGAATACTTGTGTTCCTCAGACTGAACAGGAGAGTCACCCCATCTTGGTGTCTCAGTCCATGCTGGCCACGTTGGTACCGTTCTAGGAGGGTTCTCTCCAAACCTCAAAGCCACCTGGGCTTCTTGAGTGCTCAGGAAAAGCTTGAGGCCAGCAGGGCAGGGAGATGGAGCAACCTCTTGTGTGTGGCCTCTTGGCAGGTTGTGTGTGGTGTCTGCAGTGTGTGAGGTGAGCAGGGTGACAAGGGACAGGCTCTGAGAGGACAGAGGGAGCACAGCCTAGGCAGCATCCTGTAAATCCCTGTTCTTTGCAACTCTAGGAATTCAGGCCTCTTTTTTTTTAAGGGAAATAGATTTCACATCTAGGAATTACCAACTGTTACTTCCCTGGTGTATCCAAAATGGGCAGCTTTTTAAAAAAGCACAGATCCATACAGCTACACATCTTGCCACATTCCTCTCCAGTGGCATAACTCAGGCAGGGAATCTACAGGAGCATGGAAAGGGATGTGTGTATTTTCTAGTTAGAGAATATGAGGTGTATCCACTAATAAATTATTTATCCATCTAATAAATCTTCAAAGAAATGGGGTTTATTTTGCATTCATGTAATTGCTTTGGTTTGGCTGTGAGTTTTTCCCCCATTATATATTAATTTCATATTTTGATGCTTGCATAAACCCACCAGTTTTTAACTTGGAAGTCCATGAGTTTTACAGCCATGTCCATGGAATGTGTCAGCAATACTTACTTGTGTGGATGAATTCTGCTTGTACTCTGCAAAAATGTCTGTGTTGTTCCTGGAGAACAATTCCTGTCCCAGCTGAACCATGACGTGCATTTCCATCAGCGGTGGGCATGGTCTGCCAGAGGAAAAAGGGTTAAATTTAGGGTGATGTTTTTAAGTGTTTCCTTCTCCACAGTAAGTTAACTCCCAGGAGAGTGAGCATGTCCTTACAGATCATGCCTGCCAGGAATCCTACCTGCAAAAATAGATTTTCTGTCTCAAGGGCCTTAATAAGAGTGTTACTACACAGAACTGTTCTACAGTGATAGCTCTAAATAATTTATTTTTTATTTCAACAAAGTACACCTTTAAAAAGGAATAAACTTGTTTTTCAAGCCGTATTTTTATGCTTGTAGCACTGGACTGTTTGGTCTCTGAGATCCATTTCTGCATTTCATTGCCTGGGTTTGTTCTAAAGAAGATTTATTTTTGTTCTGTGAATAATTTTTGAAGGTTCTTGTAATATGTACAGATATAGATACATTTGAGGACTTTTATTGATATTCCTACAAAGAATACAAATAAACTTTAACTTTAAACAGTTTGGACTCTGTAAACTTTTGCTGATTTAAAGGCCCCCTCTTTTATGTGTTCGAGTTGTGTTCATGTAAATGCAGAGGGTGGAGGGGAAGGAATTCCCACTGGGACAAAATGTTTGGGACAGAGCAGCTCTTGCCTGGAGCAGCCTGAGCAAACCAAGGGCTGAGGGGAACAGGATGGATTCCTGCCTCCTGAGGCTGGGAAATATCTGGCATTGTGGAGTGAGAGAGCGACAAGCTGTGGAGACAGGGAGAACTGCTCTCTGCTGCCTTTAGCCGTGGGGTTTTTCACTGAGTGGTGAAAAGAGAGTTCCCGTGTATTAATTACCGTGGTTATTCCCCTCACACCAGAAGAGTGAATGTGATCAGCCCGGTTTTCCTGTTCAGTCCATTCCTGAATTACACATTCTCACACAGCAGCCCAAAGCTGCAGAGTTGGAGGCATGGATGCAGAGGGATATTATTTACAGGTTCACATCAGATGCTAAGATTCTAAGATATTTACATTTATTCTTCATATATGTATGAAATCTTCTGTATAGTGAATGGGAAGACCTTCCACAGTGAACTTACTGAGTGTAAAATCCAAACTCGAGGGGTGTTTTGGCAAAGTCTCTCTATTTGCATTTCACAGAATCATTATTTCTCTGTAGTTTGAAGCCTGCAGGATGCCCATGGCAGACCCGCGGTGCCTCGGGGCTGGCCCTGGCTGTGTGCTCTGCTCCAGCCCCTGCATGGCACCGGGATAATGCAGCAGCAACTGGAGCAATTCTGGGCTTTTCTGTCCCAAACCCAGGTGTTCTGTCCTGCAGAGGGCTTTGCATTCCACTTTACTCCACTGTGTAAAACTGTATGTGAATGTGCAAATTCTTCTCCCATTTCCAGCCACTCTAGACAGAGCACACAGGGCTCTGGAGCCTTTCCTGCCACTCTAGCAGTTTCCTTGGGAAATTCCTTGGGAGAAGCTCCCCTCCACGAGTCCTCCTGCCTGAAGGATGCAAGTGTACAACCTTGACTGATTTCCAAGGATGTGTGCTGCTGCTTTACATTGAACAGCAGCTGCTGCTTAGATCCATTAGCAGATGGAATAGCAATTTGCTTACACTGAGATATGAGTGTCAGGAGAAGAGAGTCCTTGGTCTTGCTAGGACCCATCTCACATTGCCGTCCTTCACCTTTCTCCTGGTCCCACAGATTAAATATCCTCATGCCTCCAGAAGATGTATTAAATTCCTGCTTTTTGCTGTAGGGGTAGATCAGATATCCTGGTTGTAGGCATGAAACGTGGCTACCTGTCTGTTCTTCCTGCAGGCAGCATGAATTCCTTGTCCTTATTCAGCTCCATCCTGCTGATGCCATTGGAAATGTGAGTTCTGTGGACCTGAGCCCACTTCTCAAGACCCTCCTTAGCCCAGCTCAGTAGCAAAGCAGCCTGGGCTGAAATGGAAGGAATTACTACTAATATTGCAGATTCCATGGTGGCTGCCAGGAGCTGGGCATTTGGGATGGATGTTCCCAGCACTCTCCAAGTTTCCCCAGCTTTCATGCTATAATGTGACCCAAAGGGCTGTTGTGTCACAAGTGGAGGGGGATCACAAGGGACAAATGCCCTGACCCCAGTGAAGAATGACACAATGATGACAGAATCTAACTCAGAGTGCAAAGTGACCTGCACAGAGATGAGTGACATTTCTCACCACCTTTTCTCTGCTGTCCAGGCTTCTGTTGGCAGCAGGATGCAGATGGTGGGAGCAGTTCCTGCTCTGCATGGCAAGGTGCAAGTTCTGCCTGCAGTGAGGGGGGAGGAGTTAGGGCTGAGCTGCAGGATGCAGTTACTGCAGGATGCAGTTACTCAGCCCTTCCCTCCCTTCACGAGGGTCTGACATGGACCATCTATGCTGGACCCTACCTGAAACTCCACTATGGATTGTTGCTGTTGGAGGGGCTTTGTGAGGATTTGCCCCTCCTCTCTCAGAGGACAGAGCTTGCTCTGCCCTGTCAGGCACCAGGGCTGTGGCTTCCTGAGCATTCCAGAGCTCTGCAGAACATCCTCCTGCAGAGACAGCAGTGTCTCTGAAAGGAGGAGCTGCCCTTACCAGGGACACAAACTAGGAATGTCCAGTAAAAAACAGCTCTCTGAAGGCTTTGAAAAGATGCTGGGTGGATAACAGTTCTTACCAGTGAGAGAATTTACTTTGGCCTCCCAGTAAGCTGCAGTGCCTGGGAGCACACATCCCTTTTGGCACGGCTGGCTGCCTGCTGAGGTTCCACACGGCACAGGATGACCCCTAGAACCAAGCTGCAATTGTAGATGGAGAGAATGTTGGAGAATAGAGATAGTGATGAAGATAATCTCACCCCTAAGGGGTTACAGCTGTGTTAATTACCAAGAATTAGGAACAAGCCTGCCTTTAATAGGCTACAGCTAGATCCAATTAGGTTGGGTATTGTAAAAGAGTTGGTTAGCTGGCTGAAAAGTTACATGGAGTTTGTTTTCTGTGCTGTTAAGAGCTGCATGAGAAATCACACCAAAAAAAGGTATGCAATTTTGTGGTACAGCAAAGTGGAACTTTTGCAATAATATGACAACATGCCATCCTTGCCAACTGAGCCTGCTTTGACGGTGCCTCGTGCAAACTGACACCAGGACCCTGGGCTGGTGAGTTTTGTTTCCAGGGAAGAGGCTGGCACTGGTGTTCAGGGGCCTGTGGCCCTGAGTGGCCGGCTGCTTGCTGAGGTTCTGCACTGCACAGGATGATGGCAGCAGGTCCCAAGCTGCCACCACCACCAACACGGCCTTGTTAGAGTTGTACATACAACACATCCCTTTTCCTTGGATCTCAGGTGTGCATCATAGCCTGTGCCTCCCAGTTCAAAGCTTTGTTCCTGAGTGACACCTCCATGTGCACTGCTTCCCTCAGCACTTTCAAAGGACTTTCTCCACGACTCAGGACTTCCCTGATGGGAAGAACTGGTGAAGGACTGACTTCCCTTTTTCCTCAGTACCAGAAGATGCTGAAAAAATTTGGTTTATATTGTTGGATGGTTATTAGGATCAGGAAGGCCAGAAGAACTTGGGCCTGATAGAGATTGTCATAATTGGGATTAAGTAGAGCCTTTCAGATTTTTCT